TAGGTACCCAGAGAAGTTGCTAGGGTGCTGCTACGTGGTTGCTTGGGTTCCCGGGATGGTTGCTAGGTTGTTGATTTGCGGTTGATAGGGTACCCGCGGTGGTTGCTAGGGTGTTGGTATGCAGTTGCTAAGGTACTCGGGGTGGTTGGTAGGGTTTTGCTATGCGGTTGCTAGGCTACCCTGGACGGTTGCTAAGGTGTTGATATACGTTGGCTAAGGAGTTGCATAGCGATTGCTAAGGTACTCGGGATGCTTGCTAGTGTGTTGCTATGCGGTTGCTGGGGTACCCGGGGCGGTTGCTAAGGTGTTGCTTTGCGGTTGCTAAGGTCCTGGGCGGTTGTTAGGGTGTTGCTATGCGATTGCTAGGGTGTTGCTATTTGGTTGCTTGGGTACCCGGGATGGTTGCTAGGGTGTTGCTATTTGGTTGCGGTTGCTAGGGTGTTGCTATTTTTTTGCTAGGTTATCCGTGACGGTTGCTAAGGCTTTGCTAAGCGGTTGCTAAGTTATTCGGCGTGGTTGCTATGGTGTTGCTATACGCTTGCTAGGGTACGGGGGGGTGGTTGCTAAGGTGCTGCTATGCGGTTGCTAGATTACCTGGGGCAGTTGCTAAGGTTTTGCTATTCGGTTGCTAAGGTATTCAGGGTGGTTGCTAGGGTGTTGCTATTCGGTTGCTAGGGTACACGGGATGGTTGCTAGGGTGTTGCTATGTGGTTTGCTAGGGTACCTAGGGCAGCTTATAGGGTGTTGTTACGCGGTTGCTAGGGTACCCGTGGCGGTTGCTAAGGTGTTGCTATGCGGTGGCAAGGGTACCAGCGGTGGTTGCTAAGCTGTTGCTATGCGGTTGCTAGGTTACCCGGGGCGATTGCCAAGGTGTTGCTATGCGGTTGCTAGGGTACCTGGGGCGGTTGCTAAGGTGTTGCTATGCGGTGGCAAGGGTACCAGCGGTGGTTGCTAAGCTGTTGCTATGCGGTTGCTAGGGTACCTGGGGCGGTTGCTAAGGTGTTGCTATGCGGTGGCAAGGGTACCAGCGGTGGTTGCTAAGCTGTTGCTATGCGGTTGCTAGGGTACCTGGGGCGGTTGCTAAGGTGTTGCTATGCGGTGGCAAGGGTACCAGCGGTGGTTGCTAAGCTGTTGCTATGCGGTTGCTAGGGTACCTGGGGCGGTTGCTAAGGTGTTGCTATGCGGTGGCAAGGGTACCAGCGGTGGTTGCTAAGCTGTTGCTATGCGGTTGCTAGGGTACCTGGGGCGGTTGCTAAGGTGTTGCTATGCGGTGGCAAGGGTACCAGCGGTGGTTGCTAAGCTGTTGCTATGCGGTTGCTAGGGTACCTGGGGCGGTTGCTAAGGTGTTGCTATGCGGTGGCAAGGGTACCAGCGGTGGTTGCTAAGCTGTTGCTATGCGGTTGCTAGGGTACCTGGGGCGGTTGCTAAGGTGTTGCTATGCGGTGGCAAGGGTACCAGCGGTGGTTGCTAAGCTGTTGCTATGCGGTTGCTAGGGTACCTGGGGCGGTTGCTAAGGTGTTGCTATGCGGTGGCAAGGGTACCAGCGGTGGTTGCTAAGCTGTTGCTATGCGGTTGCTAGGGTACCTGGGGCGGTTGCTAAGGTGTTGCTATGCGGTGGCAAGGGTACCAGCGGTGGTTGCTAAGCTGTTGCTATGCGGTTGCTAGGGTACCTGGGGCGGTTGCTAAGGTGTTGCTATGCGGTGGCAAGGGTACCAGCGGTGGTTGCTAAGCTGTTGCTATGCGGTTGCTAGGGTACCTGGGGCGGTTGCTAAGGTGTTGCTATGCGGTGGCAAGGGTACCAGCGGTGGTTGCTAAGCTGTTGCTATGCGGTTGCTAGGGTACCTGGGGCGGTTGCTAAGGTGTTGCTATGCGGTGGCAAGGGTACCAGCGGTGGTTGCTAAGCTGTTGCTATGCGGTTGCTAGGGTACCTGGGGCGGTTGCTAAGGTGTTGCTATGCGGTGGCAAGGGTACCAGCGGTGGTTGCTAAGCTGTTGCTATGCGGTTGCTAGGGTACCTGGGGCGGTTGCTAAGGTGTTGCTATGCGGTGGCAAGGGTACCAGCGGTGGTTGCTAAGCTGTTGCTATGCGGTTGCTAGGGTACCTGGGGCGGTTGCTAAGGTGTTGCTATGCGGTGGCAAGGGTACCAGCGGTGGTTGCTAAGCTGTTGCTATGCGGTTGCTAGGGTACCTGGGGCGGTTGCTAAGGTGTTGCTATGCGGTGGCAAGGGTACCAGCGGTGGTTGCTAAGCTGTTGCTATGCGGTTGCTAGGGTACCTGGGGCGGTTGCTAAGGTGTTGCTATGCGGTGGCAAGGGTACCAGCGGTGGTTGCTAAGCTGTTGCTATGCGGTTGCTAGGGTACCTGGGGCGGTTGCTAAGGTGTTGCTATGCGGTGGCAAGGGTACCAGCGGTGGTTGCTAAGCTGTTGCTATGCGGTTGCTAGGGTACCTGGGGCGGTTGCTAAGGTGTTGCTATGCGGTGGCAAGGGTACCAGCGGTGGTTGCTAAGCTGTTGCTATGCGGTTGCTAGGGTACCTGGGGCGGTTGCTAAGGTGTTGCTATGCGGTGGCAAGGGTACCAGCGGTGGTTGCTAAGCTGTTGCTATGCGGTTGCTAGGGTACCTGGGGCGGTTGCTAAGGTGTTGCTATGCGGTGGCAAGGGTACCAGCGGTGGTTGCTAAGCTGTTGCTATGCGGTTGCTAGGGTACCTGGGGCGGTTGCTAAGGTGTTGCTATGCGGTGGCAAGGGTACCAGCGGTGGTTGCTAAGCTGTTGCTATGCGGTTGCTAGGTTACCCGGGGCGATTGCCAAGGTGTTCCTATGCGGTTGATAAGGTATTCAGGGTGGTTGCTATGGTGTTGCTATGCGGTTGCTAGGGTACCTAGGGCAGTTGTTAGGTTTTACTATGTAGTTGCTATGGTACCCGAGGCAGTTGCTAAGGTGTTGCTATACGGTTGCTAAGGTACTCGGGGTTGTTGCTTTGCGGTTGCTAGGGTACTAGGGTTGGTTGCTATGCGGTTGCTAGGGTTCCCTGGGTGGTTGCTAAGGTGTTGCTATGCGGTTGCTAGGGTACTAGGGTTGGTTGCTATGCGGTTGCTAAGGTACCTGGGGTGGTTGCTAGGGTGTTGCTATGCGGTTGCTAAGGTACCTGGGGTGGTTGCTAGGGTGTTGCTATGCGGTTGCTAAGGTACCTGGGGTGGTTGCTAGGGTGTTGCTATGCGGTTGCTAAGGTACCTGGGGTGGTTGCTAGGGTGTTGCTATGCGGTTGCTAAGGTACCTGGGGTGGTTGCTAGGGTGTTGCTATGCGGTTGCTAAGGTACCTGGGGTGGTTGCTAGGGTGTTGCTATGCGGTTGCTAAGGTACCTGGGGTGGTTGCTAGGGTGTTGCTATGCGGTTGCTAAGGTACCTGGGGTGGTTGCTAGGGTGTTGCTATGCGGTTGCTAAGGTACCTGGGGTGGTTGCTAGGGTGTTGCTATGCGGTTGCTAAGGTACCTGGGGTGGTTGCTAGGGTGTTGCTATGCGGTTGCTAAGGTACCTGGGGTGGTTGCTAGGGTGTTGCTATGCGGTTGCTAAGGTACCTGGGGTGGTTGCTAGGGTGTTGCTATGCGGTTGCTAAGGTACCTGGGGTGGTTGCTAGGGTGTTGCTATGCGGTTGCTAAGGTACCTGGGGTGGTTGCTAGGGTGTTGCTATGCGGTTGCTAAGGTACCTGGGGTGGTTGCTAGGGTGTTGCTATGCGGTTGCTAAGGTACCTGGGGTGGTTGCTAGGGTGTTGCTATGCGGTTGCTAAGGTACCTGGGGTGGTTGCTAGGGTGTTGCTATGCGGTTGCTAAGGTACCTGGGGTGGTTGCTAGGGTGTTGCTATGCGGTTGCTAAGGTACCTGGGGTGGTTGCTAGGGTGTTGCTATGCGGTTGCTAAGGTACCTGGGGTGGTTGCTAGGGTGTTGCTATGCGGTTGCTAAGGTACCTGGGGTGGTTGCTAGGGTGTTGCTATGCGGTTGCTAAGGTACCTGGGGTGGTTGCTAGGGTGTTGCTATGCGGTTGCTAAGGTACCTGGGGTGGTTGCTAGGGTGTTGCTATGCGGTTGCTAAGGTACCTGGGGTGGTTGCTAGGGTGTTGCTATGCGGTTGCTAAGGTACCTGGGGTGGTTGCTAGGGTGTTGCTATGCGGTTGCTAAGGTACCTGGGGTGGTTGCTAGGGTGTTGCTATGCGGTTGCTAAGGTACCTGGGGTGGTTGCTAGGGTGTTGCTATGCGGTTGCTAAGGTACCTGGGGTGGTTGCTAGGGTGTTGCTATGCGGTTGCTAAGGTACCTGGGGTGGTTGCTAGGGTGTTGCTATGCGGTTGCTAAGGTACCTGGGGTGGTTGCTAGGGTGTTGCTATGCGGTTGCTAAGGTACCTGGGGTGGTTGCTAGGGTGTTGCTATGCGGTTGCTAAGGTACCTGGGGTGGTTGCTAGGGTGTTGCTATGCGGTTGCTAAGGTACCTGGGGTGGTTGCTAGGGTGTTGCTATGCGGTTGCTAAGGTACCTGGGGTGGTTGCTAGGGTGTTGCTATGCGGTTGCTAAGGTACCTGGGGTGGTTGCTAGGGTGTTGCTATGCGGTTGCTAAGGTACCTGGGGTGGTTGCTAGGGTGTTGCTATGCGGTTGCTAAGGTACCTGGGGTGGTTGCTAGGGTGTTGCTATGCGGTTGCTAAGGTACCTGGGGTGGTTGCTAGGGTGTTGCTATGCGGTTGCTAAGGTACCTGGGGTGGTTGCTAGGGTGTTGCTATGCGGTTGCTAAGGTACCTGGGGTGGTTGCTAGGGTGTTGCTATGCGGTTGCTAAGGTACCTGGGGTGGTTGCTAGGGTGTTGCTATGCGGTTGCTAAGGTACCTGGGGTGGTTGCTAGGGTGTTGCTATGCGGTTGCTAAGGTACCTGGGGTGGTTGCTAGGGTGTTGCTATGCGGTTGCTAAGGTACCTGGGGTGGTTGCTAGGGTGTTGCTATGCGGTTGCTAAGGTACCTGGGGTGGTTGCTAGGGTGTTGCTATGCGGTTGCTAAGGTACCTGGGGTGGTTGCTAGGGTGTTGCTATGCGGTTGCTAAGGTACCTGGGGTGGTTGCTAGGGTGTTGCTATGCGGTTGCTAAGGTACCTGGGGTGGTTGCTAGGGTGTTGCTATGCGGTTGCTAAGGTACCTGGGGTGGTTGCTAGGGTGTTGCTATGCGGTTGCTAAGGTACCTGGGGTGGTTGCTAGGGTGTTGCTATGCGGTTGCTAAGGTACCTGGGGTGGTTGCTAGGGTGTTGCTATGCGGTTGCTAAGGTACCTGGGGTGGTTGCTAGGGTGTTGCTATGCGGTTGCTAAGGTACCTGGGGTGGTTGCTAGGGTGTTGCTATGCGGTTGCTAAGGTACCTGGGGTGGTTGCTAGGGTGTTGCTATGCGGTTGCTAAGGTACCTGGGGTGGTTGCTAGGGTGTTGCTATGCGGTTGCTAAGGTACCTGGGGTGGTTGCTAGGGTGTTGCTATGCGGTTGCTAAGGTACCTGGGGTGGTTGCTAGGGTGTTGCTATGCGGTTGCTAAGGTACCTGGGGTGGTTGCTAGGGTGTTGCTATGCGGTTGCTAAGGTACCTGGGGTGGTTGCTAAGGTGTTGCTATGCGGTTGCTAGGGTACCTGAGGCGATTGATAAGGTGTCAATCTAAGGTGCTGCTATGCGGTTGCTTGGTTACCTGGGGTGGTTGCTAAGGTGTTGCTATGCAGTTGCTAAGGTATTCATGGTGGTTAGTAGGGTGTTGCTATACGGTTTCTATGGTATTCAGGGTAGTTAGTAGGGTTTTGCTTTGCGGTTGCTAGGGTACCAGGGGCGGTTGCTAAGGTGTTGCTATGCTGTTGCTAAGGTATTCGGGGTGTTTGCTAGGGTCTTGCTATGCGGTTGCTAGGGTATCACAGGTGGTTGCTATGCGGTTGCTAAGGTACCTAGGGTGGTTGCTAGGGTGTTGCTATTTGGTTGCTAGGGTACCCCTGGCGGTTGCTAAGGTGTTGCTATGCGGTTGCTAGGGTACCCAGGGCGATTGCCATGGTGTTGCTATGCGGTTGCTAGGGTACCCGGGGTGGTTGCTAAGTTGTTGCTATGTGGTTGCTAGGGTACCCGGAGTGGCTGCTAAGGTATTGCTATGCGGTTGCTAGATTTCCCAGGGCAGTTGGTAAAGTGTGGTAATGCGGTTGCTAGGGTGTTGCTATGTGGCTACTAAGGTACACTGGGTGGTTGCTAGGGTGTTGCTATGCGGTTTCTAGGGAACCCGGGGCGGTTGCTAAGGTGTTGCTATACGGTTGCTAGGGAGTTGCATAGCGGTTCTAAGGTACGCTGGGTGGTTGCTAGGGTGTTGCAATACGGTTGCTAGGGTAACCGTGATGGTTGCTAGGGTGTTGCTATGCCGTTGCTAGGGTACCCGGGGTGGCTGCTAAGTTGTTGCTATGTGGTTGCTAGGGTACCTAGGGCGGTTCCTAAGGTGTTGCTATGTGGTTGCTAGGGTACCCGGAGTGGCTTCTAAGGTATTGCTATGCGGTTGCTAGATTTCCCAGGGCATTTGGTAAAGTTTTGTAATGCGGTTGCTAGGGTGTTGCTATGCGGTTGCCAAGGTACGCGGGGTGGTTGCTAGGGTGTTGCTCTGCGGTTGCTAGGGTACCCGGGGCGGTTGCTAAGGTGTTGCTATATGGTTGCTAGGGAGTTGCATAGCGGTTCTAAGGTACTCTGGGTGGTTGCTAGGGTGTTGCAATGCGGTTGCTAGGGTAACCGTGATGGTTGTTAGGGTGTTGCTATGCGGTTGCTAGGGTACCCGGGGTGGCTGCTAAGTTGTTGCTATTTGGTTGCTAGGGTACCTTGGGCGGTTCCTAAGGTGTTGCTATGCGGTTGCTAGGGTTGCTAGGGTACCCAGGGTGGTTGCTAAAGTACTCGTGGTGTTTGTTATGCGGTTGCTAGGGTACCCGGGGCGGTTGCTAAGGTGTTGCTATGCTCTTGCTAAGGTATTCGATGTGTTTGCTAGGGTGTTGCTTTCCGGTTGCTAGGGTATCACGGGTGGTTGCTATGCGGTTGCTAATGTACCTGGGGCAGTTGCTGGGGTGTTGCTATGCGGTTGCTAGGGTCCCCTAGATGGTTTCTAGGGTATTGCTATGTGGTTGCTAGCGTACCTAGGGCAGGTAATAGGGTGTTGCTATTCGGTTGCTAGGGTACCCCTGTCGGTTGCTAAGTTGTTGCTATGCGGTTGGTAAGGTACTGGGTTTGTTGCTAAGATGTTGCTATGTGGTTGATAGGGTACCAGGGGCAGTTGCCAAGGTGTTGCTTTGCGGTTGATAAGGTATACGGGGTTGTTTCTATGGTGTTGCTATGCGGTTGCTAGGGTACCTAGGGCAGTTGGAAGGGTTTTGCTATGTGGTTGCTAGGTTACCCGAGGCAGTTGCTAATATGTTGCTATGCCGTTGCTAAGGTACTCTGGGTTGTTGCTTTGCGGGTGGGATGGTTGCTAGGGTGTTGCTATGTGGTTGCTAGAGTACCCGGGGCGGTTGCTAAGATTTTGGTTTGCGGATGCTAAGTTATTCGGGGTGGTTGCTAGGGTGTTCCTATGCGGTTGCTAGGTTACCCAGGGTGGTTGCTAAGGTGTTGCTATGCAGTTGCTATGGTATCCAGGATGGTTGCTAGGGTGTTGCTATGCAGTTGCTAAGGTATTCGGGGGGGTTGCTAGGGTGTTGCTATGCAGTTGCTAGGGTACCCAGTGTAGTTGCTAAGGTGTTAATATGCTGTTGCTAGGGTACCCGGGATAGTTGCTAAGGTGTTGCTATTCGGTTGCTAGAGTACCACTGGCGGATGCTAAGGTGTTGCTATGCGGTTGCTAGTTTACCCGGGGCGATTGCCATGGTGTTGCTATACGGTTGCTAGGGTACCCGGGGTGGTTGCTAAGGTGTTGCTATGTGGTTGCTAGGGTACCCAGGGTGGCTGTTAAGGTATTGCTATGCGGTTTCTAGATTTCCTAGGGCGGTTGGTAAAGTGTTGTAATGCGGTTGCTAGGGTGTTGCTATGTGGTTGCTAAGGTACACGGGGTGCTTGCTAGGGTGTTGCTATGCGGTTGCTAGGGTACCCGGGGCGGTTGCTAAAGTGTTGCTATGCGATTGCTAGGGTAC